TTCTTCAAACGACGATAAACCTGCAAGGGAAGAGTAGTAATCAGGGAAAAAGAAGATGCACAGTTTGGTACAATAGGCAATGAGATCTCCGGATTGGGAAAGACTAAATCTAAGAAACGAGTATGCCTTGATGCATAAAGAAGGAAGATGACTCAAAAAAGGTAGCATTAGTATGATATAGTATCGTTGAAAACAAATTCATAGTTGTGATAACCTTATTGAGTTCGAGAATATCCCAAAAAGATATATTAACCATGCGAGGCGGAAGTTTATTCTCACTCAGATCAAGAAGATGAGTAAATGTAACACAACCAAAGACGCGAGAAGTGAGACCAAACAACAGTTTATCAGAATATAGCAATGAGAAAGGAGACTTGTTGGCCAAATAGGAGAAGGTTGCAATTGATAAGATAAATTGAAGTAAGAACAATATCAGCTTAATATGGTTTGACGCATGCATGTTAAACATTAAGGTGCTGAGTAACATCCAACAAATGATGATGTTTACGTTTGGTGATGCTATTTTGTTGGGAGGGAAATCGATAGGTAGTTCGATAGATAATATCATTGTCAATACAAAAGATTTTCATAAACGATTGAATATACTCGAGGGCATTGTCAGACCTAAGAATTTTAATTAGCTTATCAAATTTATGAACAACATGAACAAAACTAGATTGACGACTTGAAGAATTAGGAGGAAAAGATTAATGGTGATGCTTGTCTAATTGGCAAGCTTCACATTATAACACAGAAGAACTCAAACTAGGGATAACTGGATACAACTTTTGCAAGGAGGGATGACATAGCCATTGGGATGGCGCCAGGAATTTAGGTTTTTTTTTTTTTTTTTGGAGGAGGGGGGAGGAATTAATGTACACATTCAAATAATGCTATTGAGACCTTAATGCATTATGTTTCCAAATTATATATTGTTTTAACATTTTATTGATTAAAATTTCAGTAGTTGCTTTTTATTATTGGGTAGGTAGTCAGTTAAATTTTTATAATTTTTTATTGAATAAAATCCAAAATTTGGGCTATTTTTTTTTACTATGCAATTGTACAATTTTCGTGTGTAGCCAACTCTTGTCAAAGCCCAAGTTGAAGCTGCACTCCTATTAGATTACACTCCTATTAGCTAATCCACAAGAAAAAGAAAGGAAAGAGATNTTACTATGCAATTGTACAATTTTCGTGTGTAGCCAACTCTTGTCAAAGCCCAAGTTGAAGCTGCATTCCTATTAGATTACACTCCTATTAGCTAATCCACAAGAAAAAGAAAGGAAAGAGATATTAGATTACACTCCTATTAGTACAACGACCGCTTTGCCTCGAGTTCGAAAGTTATTCCAGTCCTTGTTTTGTACTGGTTAGGGCATTAATAGGTTTTGTATTCAAGGATCTTTAGTGAAAATTGAACTGGAATGTGGAGAGTTTATAATATTTTATGGCATGTCCATTTGAAAAGACTATTTTAGCACATGAATTGAAGTGAGCCATGCTCTGAAAAATTAAGGGAGAATACTTTAATTGAGATAAAAGTTGATGGACCATTGAATTCGCTCCACAAGAATGGTTCTCATATGTATGGGGCCTAACAATGAAGAACTCTGTGTGCTTAACAACATATACATACAGGGTTGGCAAAAGAGCTGGGGTGGCCATGCCCCCCTAGGCCAAAGGGTAGCTCCACCCTCACCTAGTCAAAAGCCTCATTGAAGAGGAGACATGAGAACATTAAAGGCAGGAACAGAAAATCCAGGATCTAAGTAGTAAAGGCCATCACTTTCATGCCCCAAACTAATCACTTTTTTTGTCTTCAAGTCCTAAAAAACACTAGATAGAGAGAACGGTACTAAACACGTATAGACTTAGTTAACTAGCTCATCGATACCAAGTTAAAGGAAAAATTAAGAACAAACAAATCAGATATTAATGACATAGATTGAGTAAGACAGAGATCATTAGTCCCATGTACCGGTCAAAAAGAACTGTCATCCAATACAATACATGAGTTAGACGAAACAAAAATTAGAGAATAGGGAAGAAATACCAGACATATGAACACTAGCTCCTGAATCAATGATCCAAGATGACGTGTAAGATTGTAAGAATAGATAAATATATAGAAAGTGAAGATAATTGTTCGATGTACTGACGAAGCTGAAAAGAAATATCATCATGAGAATCAGTAGTAGATGCAATTGGAGCATTAGTTGAAGGCTGATGTAGTAGGGAGCTAGAATAATTTATAGCTGTTTCCTGTTAGTGCACAACTTGCTCTAGGGCTTGGATTCAGTAATTTCAACCATTGTTTTTCAAAGACCATAAGACACTCATTACAACATTTCACTAGGCTTCAACGTTTAGAGTCTCTTTCGGAGTCTTTTTGTGTTCAACCCCCCACCCCACAATCAACCCGGATTTTTTTTTTTTTTGAATTTTTTCTGATAAATTTTTTGCAAGTAAGATATTGCAGTCATTAACTGTATTGTCAATTGTCAGTTTTCATTTCCACATCTTTTTTTTAACTGAAACAGATTATTGTGCTAATCAACTTTTCTTCTGATATCTGCAGTTTGTGCTGACAAGAATAAAGTATGGACCTGCACGCTATTGGGCCATCTTGTTTGTCTTCTGGTTTCTTGTGTTTGGTATATGGGCTTCAAGAACACATGGTGCTCATACAACATGATCTGTCCATGTTTTTCTCTTTTTTTTTTTTTTTTTAATTTTTCAAATGCATGTAAATGCAACTCTTGTTTTGCTAAGCAAGTAATTTGCTTGTGCAGGACCCGCTGTGTAATTTTATTATGATGTCATTGAAGTAATAGTGTTGGTAGAGTGTGCTTTGTTTCGTCCTCATATGTACAATGAGCTGTTCATTGGCCATTATAACTTGGTATAGAAGGCCACCTTCGTTAAATAAGTTGGCCTTGAAGGTGAATTCTTTTTCTTAGTTTAGCATCTGAAAATTTGCTGCTAATTGTTGTTGAGGTTCCTTGTACTTTGTCTTTCTCATATGATTTAAGTCCTGGGGATTTCAAGTTTCCGTTGTTACTTTTGTCAGACTGAGGACAAATATGGTTCAAACTTAAGAAACCAGAATTATCTGATAGAGCAAATATTGATGGTTTGTGAGAAGTATGAATTACTTGAACCATATAGTCCAGTTGTGTGGGATTTGGATGTCTTGGGTTCTACTTGAGCCAGTGACTCTTGGGTTCAACAATGAAACTAATGCGCAGTCGTTTCTTCCCTGCCTTTGCAGTCTAGTTTTCTTTTGCTATGAAGCATGGTTTCTTGGGTATTCAACATTCATGGAAGTTGAGGGGTATAAATTTCTTCCACCAACTAATGGGTCTTTGATCCAACAGTACTTCTTATCTTGTGAAGACATTTTCTTCTTGAAATCAAGAGTTTAAGCTTCCTTCTCCCTTCCCCATTCCCCTTTCCCTCCCAAAAACAAAAAAAAGAAATAGATTTCTTCTACCGGAGTTGTGGGATATATTTAGATTGTCTTCTTGGCTAAGCTCATCTTGTTGTAAGTTTGTCTAGGTCAATAATGAATAATGATTTGTACTACTTATTGTGAAAAATTTAACTCTAGAAGCACAATGAAAGTAGGGCAGATCAAACATTCCAAAATTTTCATGAAAGTTCCTCGAACGCTGAACTTGGACTCTTCACTCAAAGTTTACTCATCTAAAAGATTACAAGACANACTACTTATTGTGAAAAATTTAACTCTAGAAGCACAATGAAAGTAGGGCAGATCAAACATTCCAAAATTTTCATGAAAGTTCCTCAAACGCTGAACTTGGACTCTTCACTCAAAGTTTACTCATCTAAAAGATTACAAGACAATCGCATTTATATATAGGCTGCAACTCCAAATTTTTCAAAAACACCCCCCCTTCTACAGTACATTCGTAACCATTAATAACACTAATATACCACTAAACCATTACTTCAGAGAATTTATGCACCACCAATACGCATTCTATGCTACTGCATATGTATTGATATCTCTACACCGCTGAAAAATAAACACTACATAATAGTAAAACATAACTCCTAAAAACAAGTTTACTTTAAACCAGCTCGTCTCAGATCAAATGGGATCAGTGAAATGAAAAGCTCTGTTCGGGTTCACCTCCTTCATTTGATGATGTATCGTGTATTTTCTATAAAAATCCACGTCCCCCCTGGTTTCAGAAATCCCTAGGGGAAAAAAAAGAATTAGGGTAGACCTAGACTGTTTCCAGCTCCTACCATATCAACCTCGGACGTTTCCCCAGAAAAGAAATTGTACTGAATATTGGTCCCCATGGATGCTGCTCACATTACTTTACAGGACTGCTACTAGTAACCCAGCATAAAAAGGGAATAGAATTAACTTCAATGATAAAGGCAGATCAAATTCATGATAGAAAGCAGTTGCTAATGATGAACTGTGCAAAGATACTAGCAGATCATATACAGAGGATTTAAAGACAGATGGAAACTAGCCAGGCGGTCCAGTGGAGAAAATCAATCTATCAGAGAAGACAATTTTGTGGGAGCAAATTTATGAAGTAGGAGTAATTTTTGTTCCTTCTGGTAACAGTTTTTCTTTCCCTCCCTTCTATCCAGCACCTACAAACAAATGATACACATGCACACAAAAGCACACACGAGTAAATGGCACCCAGAAAAAAGGAAAGAAGCCCCAGGACTTAGCAACCTGGAAGCTCTTACTATCTGATGTACACTATGGTGTTACATATAGATGCGGGAATCAGAACCAACAACTCCACTACAGCAGTCCAAGTTTACTATGTACAGGAACAAAAACTGACAATTCTGAGTTTATTGATGAACCTCACTAGCCACAAGCTGCCGTATACTTTTGACTTGATCAAATTTTACCGTTCAAGTATGAAACACAATATACTGCAGCATTTTGATGGCTTTCAACTGCTGCCTCATGCAGTGGAGAGAGCACATGCAGGAGATTAAGGCAGCCCGTGCAGTGGAGAGAGCACATGGAGGAGATTAAGGGTACCATCTTCTGGAGTACTGAACCAAGTGGCCAACCATTTTGTTGAGTTGTGTGGCTTATTTTGAAGCCATAGGTGGATCTGTGTAATAGCCGCAGGTGGATCAGTTGAATTTGCATGGTATAGTGACCCATGATTGTGATTAAAGCTGGCAGAAACCTGTCCAACAAGAAAAAGAAAAATAAACAGAGGCCATATATAACCCTCATATCTTCCAATGGAAGATCAGCTAGATCAGATGGAGTATAGCGTTAGTGTTGGATGAAAGAAGTCATGACTACAAACGTTAATCACCATTAATCAAGGAAGTTAGAAACAGTGTATTAGGTACAGACCTAACTTGCATTGTTTCCACATAATGGCTGCCATTACATTTGAACCCAGTTTCATGGAGGTAGCATTGATGTTGCATAACCACTATTCAGTACTTAACCAATGCATCAAAACATGTCTATAACAACATATAGTAGTCTACTTTCTGTTAAAGATTTTACATAAATGGAAGACAATTTAGCAGAGATAACTGCAACCCTTGGACAGGTTGCACCAAACTTCAAAGTCAAGTTGTCATTCAGAAGTCATATCCAACATTTTATGATTAAGGTCAAAAGAAGCAAAAATATTTAGTTGTTATTTTCATACATTGCACACGGTCATAATCTAGAAGAAGGCAAAAGAATTGCCCGCTAGGTGCAGTATGCTATGACATGTATCATATGTTGCTGTGAAGCACAGAGAGACTGCGTTGAAAAAAGGTTCATTTCATTAACATTTGACATGAACAACCAAAGCTAGCTGTACCAGTGGACAAGTTTGGGCCGAACTATCAAGAAACAGGATTGGGATTGCGTTAAAGCTGAGGCAACCTCAAGTTCACCTAACCAGATCCCAAAACTAGTTATGTCACACGTTAATAAATGTAAGCTATGCTACAATTTTCCTTACATATGCTATTTGAGATCTAAGAAGCACAGACACATTTACAAAACCTCGTGTCCATAGCAGACACCAACACTTCTTTGATCGTCGCCATATTACAAAAAATAAAAGTATAAATTTCAAACATGAATTCAACACTTCTTCGACACATGTCAGACACTTCTTTGATCGTCGCCATATTACAAAAAATAAAAGTATAAATTTCAAACATGAATTCAACACTTCTTCGATACATGTCAGACACTTCTTTGATCGTCGCCATATTACAAAAAATAAAAGTATAAATTTCAAACATGAATTCAACACTTCTTCGACACATGTCAGACACTTCTTTGATAGTCTCAACTACAACTCAACTCATTTCAACAAAGACTTATTCCAAACATTTTGGGGTCGGCTACATGAATCTACCCTCGCCATTGTGTTGTATCAAGGGTCATGCTTATTGTTAAATCATAAGTTATATCTTTCTTTACTATTTCATTTAAGGTTCATTTTGGCATTGTTTTTACCCTTACGCTTACCGTCAATAGCTATCATATCACTCTTTTTGATTGATGCCTTAGTAAGTTGTCTATAAATATGTTCAAGTCACCTAAGTCGATTCTCCTTTAATTTATCTCCCATAGGTGCTGCATTTACTTTTTCATGGATCTAATCATTCATAATCTTATCCTTCCTAGTTTTACTACACATCTATCTTAAAATTCTCATCTCTGCCATATTTAATTTTTGAATGTGTCGTTTCTTAGTTGCCCAACACTTTGTACCATAAAGCATGACAGATCTTATAGCTATTTTATAGAACTTGTCTTTTAGCTTAAGGGGTATGCATCTATCACACAATACATCATCACCAATCGTACACACTTTATGAATAATATATCTTAAATAGTTAAAATGTTCAATCTTTTACTACTTTCCTATTTGGATTCCTCTTTTTACAAAAGTTACATTCCATGTATTTAGTTTTAGTCCTACTTAAATTAAATCCTTTTGATTCTTCTCGCTATATTTATAGTTTTCTAATTCATTTTTTATTTACTTTCATCAAATAATACAATACCATCTACGAATTACATACACAATGTGAGCTCATCTTGAATAGTCAATCCATCCATAATTAACATAAAATGATATGGACTCAAAGCAGAAGTTAAGGTATGACTTCGTACACACATTCAACAATTCTTCGACATCAAAATTCAAAAGCTAAGTTATGACTTCGTAGCATGAACAAAAGAAAAATCTATTAGGAAAATTTTTAGTATTTTTGAAGTGACAATATGATGTGTTTTCTCTCCACACAAGTGGACAGCTTCTTGTAGTTCTTAGTTTTGTTTTATTTACTTTAATTTCTACTCTTTTAGGTGGATTTCTTATCCACTATTTATTTACATTTATATGATTCAATAATAAAAGTGCTGTTTCTTATTAAAAAAAAAGAAGACATGAAGAGTTGGTTAAAGAATGGGGTACTAGAGGATGACAAAAATCAAAATCATTATGTATTATTTGTTATTTTTTGTTTACCTAGACATGGATGATTATTGGTGATTACGATTCCTAAGTTAAAGATTCAGAGATACACAACAGATTTTGTTTTACGAGGTATACCACAGAGAGCTTGTATCCCTTGTCAAAATATTAATGCCACAAAAAGTTGGTTTACATGATTGAAAGACCCCTCAACATATTGCTAATTGATTTTCAGCTAAATGACTTTAATATGGAATCACAGCCGGGTCTTTGTGGCTAGTTGGCCAAATCTTCCACACATTTTCATTTCTAGTATGTTTATTTGTCTGTTTAGCTTCGGTTTGTTAACTCACGTGCGAGTTTGAATCACTTAACTCACGTAAAGAGAGTTTGTATCCCGCATCAAAAAATTAGGGGCACCTAATGTTAGTTTATATGATCTTAGGGGTCTCTCTACTCAAAACATACACTATGAAACCTTTGTGTTAGTGTATCCATTGTGTCATGTCCATGTCCCGAGTCTGTGTCCGTGCTCTTAGTATTAGATCAGAAGGGTTGCATGAACATAAATGACTCATGATTGACATCATTCTAACTAGTTTTCTAGTGTAAATCCTATTTCTCAAAGATTGATAAACTTATTCATGACCATTTCTTCCTTCTACGAAACTCCAAGCTGTTTTCAAGCTATTCATTACAATACATTGCCGGAGCATAATAATCATATTAAAACTACAATATTAAATCTTAACAATCTTTTTAACCAGATAGAACCCAAGCTTGGGTTAAGTGGGCATGCCTTGGATATATATCTGTTAGCCTGTGAGCAACCCACTCAACTTCTGGGGTTGCAATTGGATTGCCCTTTCAAGTTTAGCCAATCTGAAAAATTTATACCCTGCTTATATTTGATCTACCACGAGTATAAGTGATTAAATCAATGCTGTTCCAGAAGTTACTGAGTTTCTCGGAGCATTAGATAGGTCTCATTTAGTCAGGTAACATACAAACCAAAAACAATCTAAGAAAATCAAGAGAGAGAGAGAGAGAATCTAATCCCCAAAAATCAAGGAATCACAAAATAGTGGTAATTAAACAAATCATCCACATGACTAAAATGTNAGAATCTAATCCCCGAAAATCAAGGAATCACAAAATAGTGGTAATTAAACAAATCATCCACATGACTAAAANAATCTAATCCCCAAAAATCAAGGAATCACAAAATAGTGGTAATTAAACAAATCATCCACATGACTAAAATGTGCATGAACATGTATATGTTCGTAAATGACACATGCATATCAATTAGATGAAATTACCATAATTGTTCGTTTATTCAAGAATCAAAATTGATCCATACAACACATTTTGAGTAAAAAAAAATTTTGTTTGTATTTGAATTATGAGATGTCCAAGAGGTAGCGTGCCCTCTAAGCAGCAAACCCATATAACCTATATCACGCTTATTTTCTGGACCAGTTCCAGAAACCAATGATTTGGTTCTTCATTGGACTCCTTGCTGCCAGCCTGTGGTTACTCCCGTGTTGGCAAAAGAAGGGGTTTCATTGGTTTTACATACTAGTTGATTCAAACCAATAACTCTTGTGGTGTGAAAGAGATACTCTAATGGCTGAAATAGCTTAAGGTGAGTCAAGCCAGAGAAAATATATGCCTGTAAGAGAAAGCCGCACAAGCAAAGTTCCATTTACTAGACAATGGGGATAGAGTGCTAAGACAGAGAGTATGTTATCCCTATACAAAATGAAGTCAGGGCTACCACGCTAAGCTAGGATGTAACATCCCGGATTGGAGGTTGTTGGAATTTTAAGATGAGTTGTAATGAAATTTTGAGAAAATGATTACGAACTTGATCCAAGTTCGAATTGAGCTAGATATTAGATTGGGACTCAGATTCACAAGACATTAAAACTTAAAAGTGATTAAAATGAGTGTTCGTAAAGAATTAATCACAAGTTTGATTTTCATCGGCATAGATAGATTTTTTCCTAACTAGACAAGGAGACCATAAATCATGTAAAGACTATAAAGTCATTCGAGACAAGAGTTTAACCACACAACATTGAATAACGGTACTAGATACATTTATTAAAAAACAATAAAAAACATAAGAGAGATTAAAAATCCAAGAACCAGATGGTAGAATTTGAAAGGTGAAAATATGTATTTATTTAAGAATAAAACGCTAAAAGTAGTGTGGAATTTAAAAGATAAAACAAATATAATGTGGAATACAATTGTAGAACATATTAAAAAAGTAGTTATTGAGGTTCTTGGCGAATCAACAGCTAATTGACCATTAGCAAGAGCAACCTGGTAGTGGAATGATGAGATCCAAATTGTGGTAAAATCAAACAAAGTGCTACCAAACATGGAAAAAAACTAAAAATGAAGAAGACTTTAAAAGTTATAAGCTTACAAATAAAGAAGGAAAGAGGGTAAAAAATGTTTTAAGTACAAAGCATATGATGATCTTTAGTGTAAACTAGACACAAAGCATGCGGAGAAAAACATATATAAACTTACTAAATTAAGGGAAATAAAAACTAGAGATGCTAATCACATTAAACGTATTAAGAGATAATACTCTAGGGTTTTGATACAAACCAAGGAAATTAAAGAAAGGTAGAAGTAGGGGTGTCAATCGTGTTGTGTCGTATCAGTTTCGTGTCGTGTTATTTTCGTATCGTATCACTTTCGGTACGTGTCAGGTTCGTGTT